AAAACCCGAGGAATAAACGTTGCAAGAGTCCTTCCTCCAATATTTCGACATATTTCGCAAAATTTATGTTGCCAGTGCACTCCACTAAGCTCGATCTCCCACCAACCTAAACAGCTCCCCAAACCACCATGCGTCACAGTTGGCTGCAATCTGCTGAGCCAAAACTATTGGTGAGGCATTCTCCAGACCCATATCCTTCCACTGTCCAAAAATTGAGCAAAAAGGAAAGAGATTGATGTGTTGATATCTGGACAAGAGGAGGAGGACACGAGTCTTCTGTTACAAACATTCAATGGAAAGAGATTGATGTGTTGATTTGAATGTTTGTAACAGAAGACATGTGTCCTCCTCTTGTCCAGATATCAACATGTCAATCTCTTTCCATTGAATCTTTGTAACAGAAGACACGTGTCCTCCTCCTCTTGTCCAGATATCAACACATCAATCTCTTTCCTTTGAATGTTTGTAACAGAAGACACGTGTCCTCCTCTTGTCCAGATATCAACACATCAATCTCTTTCCATTGAATATTTGTAACAGAAGACTCGTGTCCTCCTCCTCTTGTCCAGATATTAACATGTCAATCTCTTTCCATTGAATGTTTGTAACAGAAGACTCGTGTCCTCCTCCTCTTGTCCAGATATCAACATGTCAATCTCTTTCCATTGAATGTTTGTAACAGAAGACTCGTGTCCTCCTCCTCTTGTCCAGATATCAACACATCAATCTCTTTCCTTTGAATGTTTGTAACAGAAGACACGTGTCCTCCTCTTGTCCAGATATCAACACATCAATCTCTTTTCATTGAATATTTGTAACAGAAGACTCGTGTCCTCCTCCTCTTGTCCAGATATCAACATGTCAATCTCTTTCCATTGAATATTTGTAACAGAAGACTCGTGTCCTCCTCCTCTTGTCCAGATATCAACACATCAATCTCTTTCCATTGAATGTTTGTAACAGAAGACTCGTGTCCTCCTCCTCTTGTCCAGATATCAACACATCAATCTCTTTCCATTGAATGTTTGTAACAGAAGACTCGTGTCCTCCTCCTCTTGTCCAGATATCAAC